TCTTAATACTGTTGGACACCCAGTAACTAATACAGACAGTTAAAGTGCATGCTGGATAATAACAAAAGCAGAGCTCTTCCACTTGACTGCAACAAAAGGACGGATCTTCATTTTCTTGTTATAAATCCATGCACTGGTCATGGTGAATCAGAGCTGATTAGGAGAGACTCAAATAGCTCCTGCTGTTCTTTTAATAATACATGGGGCAGCATCAGTGTAGCTGGCAGACAAAATACAACTTGTCATGTCAGTATAATATGAATGCATGAATGCCCAGATGTAATATGCAGAATATGCAGTGTTACAAAATATGTAGATCAGCAATAATCCATATACTCATATATGAGGAAAACAAATAAAAAAATAAAGTCTCACTTGAAAGGTTTCAAGTTGTGTGTTGTAAATCTAAAAACATTCCATCAAGCGATATCTAGACTTTAGAAATGTTGAATCTGCAACAACAAGCCTCTAATGAAGCTGACACTGTTTATTCATTATTACTGCATCAATCGGTTCTACTTGCAGCAAATCTGACTTTAATTGGTTGTTGACTGTGACGGATGAGGACAAGCGAAGGATGCTGCTGCTGCTGCTTTCAGGTTCATATTGCTTTTCAAGTGTATTTTTCTCAGGTCCAGCACTACAGTAGGAAATTAAAAGTAAAAATACAGACTTAGTTAAAGATGTGAATTTTGAACTACAATGAGGCCAGTATCAATGCAGATTGATGCCAAAGGAATCAAACCATTGTAAGAAAAGAAAAACTATTACAGTTCCTTTTAATACAGCTTCAGAGAGAACACACAGACTTCCCTTTATGTAGCTTTTCAGCCTGTAACTTAAGACTGTTTCTTAGTATTGTCAAGGATTCATGCATTGCCTTTTTTTAACGCTGTTAGCATAAACATGTACAGTTGCTCGGTAATGTGTCCCATACAAGCCTTAAGCTTGGACTGAAATCAGATATTAAACTTTTCTGAGGTTGTAGATGTGATAATGAGCCTAAAAAAATAGCCCCAACTCTATTTATTAATATTCAGGTATCCATTTAGATTGTAATAATAGAAGTGCACTCAATCTCAGTATTGTTAACATATCTTCTTTTGCAGATGAACCTTTTGCTGTTCTATTGAAAAAATTTTCAACTTGCTTTTCATAAAATGTATTTTGTGCCCTCCATCTTTTCTTTGGTTGTCTGTTGATTGTTCTTGAGAAAACACAACTTTCTTGCTGGGTGTCTGACTACAGTACTGCGACTGGATGTGATTAAGATGGGCGTGTTTAGGCTGGAAAAGCAAAGATGCTTCATGTGTCTGTCAAAATTAAAACTTTCATTGCACAGCTCAAATCTGGTGGCTTAAGCGGCTAAACGTAACACTTAAGCTCACTTGCAGCGGTCGACCCCCTGTAGCGCTGCACTTCCCCAGTGTTTGCGGTCTTTCCAAGCAGCAGCAGAGCCACAACAGCTTATATTTCTTTTCATTCCTCTAGGTTCAGCTCTCCTGCTTGGTTCTTTCTCTCCGTACCCCTTCCCCATTCTTTTTAGCGACCTGTGTTATAGAGTGGTGGACTTTGGGAGTTTGAATACTTTCCTGCAGCCTCAAGAACAAATATCTTGATTCTTATGGAATATGTAGTAATATGTAGCCTTTATTTAGGTATTTGCAGTAGGTTTTGTGTATTTGCAGCATTTCTCATTTGCTCCATTTAGTGCATTAGTCTTGTATAATCTACTGTTTAATTCATTTATAATCACTTCATAAAACTGGATTTTAAGTTATACAGTATATTAAGCTTCCTTTTACCAGAATAAAGGATCACCTTAAACTAATTAAAAGAAAACTCAGCAGCGAGTGCTACTGCCTCCAACTATGAATGTGCAAAAAGTTGATTTTGCTCTATACCAATACTTTTTTGCCTTTTATGTTCCCAGGTTCACCTGGCTGCTGTCTTCCCCTTAATCTGATTTCAACACTTCTTGTGAAATAAATGTCCTCACTGCTACTCCTGTGAGCTGTCAGCTTTCTTGTGACAGTAAAAAGCAGTCAGTGTCTGAGCTCGGTGCCTCTTTCTCAGCTTGTAATTGCTTCATTAGAGCTTTTGCTGCATTGCTCCCTTGTAGCTTGGGAGATTTAATAAAACTAAAAAAAGTGACTTGCAGACTCCTGTATCTGGGCTGCTGGGTTACTGTTGTGGAATTTTTTTGTAACATTAGGACAGAAAGACAAAGTAGATCAAATAAAGTACACTTCTGGACTCCTGCATTTAAGCACAACATGCAACTAAAGCTCTGTCAAAGCCTTCAGACTGGTGATACATTTCAAGCTTCTACTTAGAGTGCAAAGTAAACCAAGTTAAAGAAAGTAGTGAAAAAGATTCCAAGGGGCAGATGCACAAAGCTGTGCAAATGCTAGATGTTTGCAAACCTGGGGGCGCTTCTAGTTCTGCTGAAAATAGATGGAGTCAGCTACGCTCTGATGACTGATCATTCTGCAGTAAGACAGTTCGCCACCTTTAAATTAACCATGATGCATGTTCAGAAGCAGTGGCGGCTGGCCAATAGGGGCACTAGGCCACCGCCCCACCCACCCAATGACCTTGATTAAGACATAAAAAAAACAAAATTAAATTATAAAATAAAAATATTTCAAAATATATTAAATATTTTTTTGATGTGCAAGATAAATATTTTATCTTTAATAACGAATAAAGCTGTCTCATTTTTTTTCATCAGATTGGTGACATATTTCCACACTAGGACGCAAGAATGTTTGCTCATTGACTCTTTTTAAAAGTTGTACATGCACAGTAGCTCCTCTGCAACACAGACGTATAGGAGCGCTCTGGGCCAACAACGCTTCCCCTTGAGATGAGAAGCTGGAGGTGAAACTGTTTGGACCTAATCAGATTTTGATCAACATCAAAATTGGCTTGGGTAACTGCATGCAGCGAGGCTAACGCTTTATTCTGCTGCCTTGACAGCCTGCCTCCTTTCTCAAACGTCAGGATCTGACCCAGCATATATAAAGACTTTTTAGAAAAGGCACTTTTTAGAAAAGACAAAGAAGCATGAACAATCTGGGATTCAGGTGGAAGATCATATAATTTAGTGTCGTTTTTCTAGGTGTTTCTTAATTTGCATAGTTGCTCTAAAATAAACAAATCCTCATAAAATTAATTGCTTTTATATATTAAACAAATATAAAGCTAACTAATAGCTTCTCCATTATTAAACTGGTACATTATTTTTTTATCATTCCAAAAAAGTTAAGAAACAATACACTAGACTTAGGTTTCCAAGTTTGAAGACATTTTGCTTCCCATCCAGGAAAAAGTACGCGATGCTGGTCGATACCTCTGAAAGGGGGGAGTCATTAGGGGCGTTGTTGGCCTGACTGACCAGGCGAGTTGTCTTGGTTCCCTGCAGGAGTCAACTCTATCGCTGCATTGTAGGTTTTTGAGAGCTGAAACCTGAGTCTACCCCTTCTTATTAAGGTTGTTTTTTCTCTCTTAACAAATATCAATAGCTTCCTTCACACCCTTTCACACCACCTGTCCTCTTTGTCCAAAATATCAACATTCTGTTCCTCAAAAGAATGTCCGTTGTCCAGAAGGTGTGGATGTACCACGGAATCTTGTTGGTAGATCTCCTGTGTTGAGCCATGCATCTGTGGTTGTTTGGTTTCTCAAATATAAATATCATAAATATGTTGCGGTGAAATGGCCACAGTTTCTCCAGCGTGTCCTGGGCCTTTGCTCTTTGGATGCCCTAAGACCTCAGCAGACTCCTCTCAATGTGGCTCTACTTTGATGTCCTCCCTCTCCATCCAATCTCTAAGGAAGCACCTTGCAGATAAAGCCCATTTTTAACCCCTTGTATCAGGATCCCTTTCTTTGGTCATGATCCAAATTCAATGACAGTAAATGTAGGAACAGACCGACCATTAAATCAAGAGGTTCCCTTTTGACTCAGCCCTCTCTCTTAACTCACATAGACCTTTACAACGTTTGAATTGTTGCAGCAGCCACACTGATCCATATGTCGATCTCCTGCTCCATTCTCCACTCACTCATGAACAAAAACCCAAGGTACATGAACTCCTCCAATTAAGAAAGGAGCTTTCCTCTGACCTGAAGGGGGCAAACCCCTATTCTTCAGTTGAAAGCCATTTGGAGGAGTGGATCATCTTTTTTATTCATTAAGAAAAAAAATCGAATTAATATACTGATGCAGAATAGAACCAAAAAAAATCAAAATTCAAGCTTAAATTAAACAAATGCTTTTGTATAAACAACACATTAAAACCAAGAGCACTTTTCAGAATGAACACAGATAGCAGACGATGTAAAACAATGACCTTTGGGTTTATATTCTACAAAAATGTTTGGTTACAGCTGCCTTGTAAAGCTCTGAAGGGCAGGCAGAGTTTCACCAATAAATAGCTGCAGGAAGCAATAAAATCCTGCATAACAACTCATACTACACTAGTTTTAGACCACAGAAATAAATTCATATTTGCTAAAACCGCTGCATTGTCATCTGGGAAATGTTTCCCCTTCATGCAGAAATGTCAGGTGTCTATAGCACCTAAACACATCAAAAACATAAAAATTGAAAACTCATTAATATGTTTAAAGATACCTTTAAGGTTTATCTGGGATATATTTGGATTATAAGTGTATATTGACTGGATAGAGGATTTTCTATGGTCTGCAGGATATGAGACAACAGCTTAGACAGAACACAAGCATGAAGAATGCTGCCACACTGAACCTACAGTAATACTTGACTAAATATAGCAAACAACATGGGGGGGATGGTGAAGGCTGATGACTGAGTGTTTGACCAGAGGAGAAAAGTGTCTGGAGTGTCTGTGCACAAACATAATTACAAGCACAAAGCTGTTGAAGGGTTGGTTTATATGTGCTAAAAGACCTTCTTAAAGCAATATGCATTCTTGTTAGGACATTTCTGTCATCCCTGTTTCTGTCACACTCACGTGATGACCAATGAGGTGGAAAAGAGTAATGTCCCCAGCAGGCCACGCCGGCAGTCCGCATTCTTCCTCTGGCGTTGGTGCATCTCGCCGCCACAGTTGTCGCAGCAGCGACACATGCAGAAGAAGAGCCCCACAACTGGCATGAGGATGGCGAACAGCAGGCCCACCGCTGCACATATGAGGAAGCCTATCTCATAGTAGATGGCCTGGGGTTAATGGGGGAAGAATAGAAGGAAAAGTTATGAGAAATGAAAGGTCAGAGGGGAATTAAAATAAGATGTTTTGGGTGCAGGGAGTTTGGAGGTGAGGAAGGAAATAAAGGAGAGATTAATAAAGGCAAAAAGAAGGATGAGGGAGGACACACAAGGAGGCCAAGGATAAAGTGAGCAACAAATCTAAAAATATCTGTAAGGTCCCTGGGCTGTAAAATCTACTCCTGTCCAAATGATTTTTGAACACAAACAATGAACACAACGGATAACACTTAAACATTCCAAGCTATTTAATTTAGATTTTAGAAAAACATAACTTTTAATAGTATGATAGGATGAGATAAACATTATCACACTACATATGAAAAGTTGAATTTGTAATGGACAGGAAAGTTAATTCTGAAATGCTGCTTAAAGATATAAAGAAGCACCAAAGAATTAGCCAGAAACATAAATGGGATTGTTTCCTCCCTTACTGGTTACAACTAATGAGCAGCAAATGTGTTTTTTGCTTCTTATACTGTCAATGCATCAATGTTTAGAATCTACATCATCTACAAGTAGAATCTACATTATATTTACAACATATTTATATATATATATATATATATATATATATATATATATATATATATATATATATATATATATATATATATATATATATATATATATATATATATATATATATATATATGTGTAAAGCTCTTAGATTAATGACCCTTTTATTCCCCCACCCCCCCTTTAACGATATATAGCCTTTAAAATAAACAGGATTGTAAGCTTACACATGAAAGAAAACTGGAATTCAGCATTAGTTAGTCTGGTCAGGGCAACTCTAAAAGAAAAGCCTCAGAGAGTTTGAATATATTTCAAACAGTGATCAAAAGAATAGCAGCATACAGCATGAGGCATGATGGAGAAAACAGTCAAAGGAATCTGACCAATCTAAGTTAGCCTGCAGTGCTCTTTTCTCCGATGTAATGAGATATAAAGGCTGCAATCCTGATGGAAAACCTTCCTTACTGAAATTTGTAATAAAACAGGGAAAACAGATTCTGAACAAGATTCAACTGGAATTATAAAACTTATTTTTTTCTTTTGAAAGAGCAGAAATCCACATCTAAGTGGATAATTAGCAGATAAGCAGCAGATAATTTAATATGGCACATTATCAGATATTCATCAACGTTCCTAAAATTTTACAATTTTATTTAAGTTAATTTTGTTTTTGACAAACTTAATATGTATAAGATATTAGACGTCATCTACAAGATAAGTTGGAACTGGTCTGTGTGACGGGTTCCTGTCACTTTTGTGAATGAATCCCTGTCTAATTGCTGTTTTCTTCTTGCAGTTGATTGGCTGGGGAGAGTTTAAAAGGATCAAGCCCAACCCACCAGGGGGGGAGGAAGTTTGGGAGTACTCCTGTGTGGTGGCGTGTCTCCAAGCCTCGCTCCCGCTCCTTGGATGTGTCTTTTTGTTTGTTAATCTTCCCTCGGGTTGTTAGGTCTGGGGACCGTTGGCCGGACTGTGCTTTTCCGGTTTTTGGTTGTAGGGTGACTGATCCGGCAAGGCAGGGTGAGGGGAGCGGCCCGAATCCGACGGTCAACTGCTGGCTGGTTCGCGAATGCTCCCATCCTTTTGTTTATTTGTCACGGTTCCCCAGAACCTCTATGTCCAGCCACAGTCTAAATAAAACCTTTGTCTGTGTAACTTGGTCTGGACTTCATATGTTGCGTGCCCTGTGCGGGCCGTAACATATTGGGGGCTTGTCATATTTGGAGGACTTGATTCAGTTAGGATTCTGTGTGGGATCCTTGTGGTGGTCTGGAAATGCGCTTATATTTTTGCTGGGGCGTTGGTTTGGGACGCTCGGCGGTTTTTCCGGCACTTATTGATGTTTGAGGGTTGCAAGGAGCGTCTTTGGTTTTCGTGCTTGTTTTTGTTTTCTTTTGTTGTTTTGTTTTTTTCAGCGTTGTTTCGACTTTTTAGACTGAAATGGAGTTTAAACTGGAGGAGTTTTTGGACAATCCTACAATTGAGAAAATTGACTGTTGTACAAAGGAACAGCTTTTGTTAATTGCTGGTGAGTTTTCGTTCTCCGTTTCTAAACAGTTAAAAAAGGCGGATATGAAATCTGAGATTGTTTCTGCTTTGATTGACGCTGGCGTTCTTCCTCACGTTGGTTCTGATGCTGGTCCACGGGTTAACTCTGATGCTGACAGTAAAACTAACTCTGACCCGGTTCCTCTGCTTGGCCCTCTTGCTCAGCCTAGCTGTCAAACCTGTCAGGGCGCTGGGACTGAAAAATCTTCTTTTGATCTTCGTGAATTGGAATTGCAGCTTGAACTCGGCCGTCTGGATCTCAGACAACGGGAATTGGATCATGAGTTTCAGCTGCGTAAATTGGAAACTGAAGCAAATAAAGAAGTTCGCTTGAAGGAGCTTGAGGTGGGCAGCTCGTCTGCCCCGCGGGGTTCGTCTACCTTTGATATGAGCAAGTGCATTCGTTTGATACCACCCTTTTCCGAAAAGGATGTGGACATGTATTTTGTCCTGTTTGAGAGAGTGGCTACATCATTACAATGGCCAAAACATTTTTGGCCATTATTATTGCAGTGCGTATTTACCGGGAAAGCTCAGGAGGTTTATGCTGCACTTCCGTCTGATGTCAGTGTGAATTATGACTCAGTGAAATCAGCTGTTCTTAAAGCGTATGAACTAGTGCCGGAGGCCTATAGGCAAAAGTTCCGCGGTCTTGTTAAAGCTGAAGGTCAGAGTTATGTAGAATTTGCCCATGATAAGGAGGTCCTCTTTGATCGTTGGTGTCTGGCACTGGGCGTGGAAAATCTCAGTCAGTTACGTGATCTGATTCTGCTGGAAGAATTTAAGAACTGCTTAACAAAGCAGATTGTAACCTATATAAATGAACAGAAGGTTGTTGAGATTTCCAAGGCGGCTGTATTAGCGGATGAGTATGTTTTGACTCATAAAAATGTATTTGATAGGCAGCCTTGTGTGCCGCTACGTAGTGCCCCGCCTCCTGCAAAGCCTAACGTTGAGGTGGAACGCCGCTTTGAAAGTGGAGTTGGTAGGGGGCCAGTTTGTGCTCACTGCAATAAGCGTGGTCATATTATGGCCAATTGTTTTTTGCTTAACAAGAAGCCGTTGTCAGCTACAGTGGCCGCGGCAGCTAAGTCACCCCCAGTCTTAGTTTCCTGCGAGCCGGGGAACGTAGAGCTGGGAATTTATGCACCTTTTCTCATGACAGGGAGTGTCTCCATAGGGGGTGGAGAAGGAGTACCTGTAACAATCTTGAGGGACACAGCAGCTTCTAGATCCATTATTCTTGATAGTGTTCTGTCGTTAAATGATGAGACCTTTTTAAATTCACATGAGCTGGTGCAAGGTCTTGGGATGGATTTTTTACGCATCCCTCTTCATCGCATCTGTTTGGATTCGAACTTGGTTTCTGGTGAGGTGGTGGTGGCGGCAAGCCCAGTTTTCCCAATTAAAGGGGTTGATTTTCTCCTAGGAAATGATTTGGCCGGGGGTAAAATTTTAATTAATCCGGAAGTCACGGCAGTTCCAGTGGTTTCAGGTGCACCAGACGAGTTGCAGAGAGGATATCCAAAGGTGTTCCCCGTGTGTGCGGTTACTCGTGCTATGGCCCGGGAAAATATGGAAACGGGCATCAGTGATATGATCGAAAGCAACTTGGATTCTGCGGGTACGTCGGTGTCTTTCACACCTGTGGCACCTTCATGTGATGTGGGCCAGGGGGAGGCTCATCACGACAACATGTCGAGAGAAAATCTTATTCTAGAACAAAGTCGTGATCCCTCTCTTTTTCCCTTGTTCGACCGTGTTGTCTCAAATGAAGAAATTGAGAAAATGCACGAGGGATATTTTTGTATAGATGGCCTGCTGGTGCGTAAATGGACACCATCACAGGCCACTGCAGAGGATGACTGGCGGACAGTTAATCAAATTGTGGTACCACAGAAATTTCGTCTTGCCATCTTAAGCCTTGCTCATGATAATCCTATGGCTGGTCACATGGGGGTGACCAAAACATATGACCGCATTCTGCGGCAATTTTTTTGGCCGGGATTAAAAAAAGATGTGAGGAAATATTGTAAAACCTGCGGGGTGTGCCAAATCTCCGGGAAGCCTAATCAAACAATTGCACCTTATCCTTTACATCCTATTCCTGCTGTGGATGCACCTTTTAACCGTGTTTTGGTGGATTGTGTTGGCCCTTTTCCAAGAACCAAATCTGGTCATAGGTTTTTGCTAACGGTGATGTGTGCATCAACCCGGTTTCCAGAAGCTATACCATTGCGCAAAATAACTGCGCCGTCGGTGGTGTCTGCCTTGGTGAAATTTTTTTCCTTGTTTGGTTTGCCAAGAGTAGTGCAGACGGATCAGGGATCCAACTTTATGTCACGCATCTTTAAGCAAGTTTTAAAACAGCTTGACATCACACATTGCCGTTCCAGCGCTTATCACCCGGAGAGCCAGGGCGCGCTGGAGCGGTTTCACCAGACCTTAAAAAGCATGCTCCGTGCATACTGCTTCGAGTTTGACAGGAACTGGGATGAAGGAGTTCATCTGCTGCTTTTTGCAGCACGTGAGGTGGTGCAGGAATCACTAGGTTTTAGCCCAGCTGATCTTGTTTTTGCCCATTCTGTCCGTGGCCCGTTGAAATTGTTAAAAGAGAAGTGGATGGGCTCTGACTCACAGAACCTTCTTGACTACGTTAGTGCGTTTCGCTTTCGTCTTCATCGGGCATGTGAGTTGGCTAGAGAAAATCTTCAAGCCGCTCAGAGCAAAATGAAGGGCTGGTTTGATATTAAGGCTAGTAATAGGCAATTTCAACCGGGAGATAAAGTTTTGGTGTTTTTGCCAGTTGAAGGTGCTAGTCTGCAAGCACGCTACAGCGGACCATACGTGGTTGTGCGTAAAGTGAGTGACACAGATTACATAGT